CATGACGCTGTCTCTTATACACATCTAGATTCTCTCTCTCTCTCTCTCTCTCTCTCTCTCGTGTCTTCTCTACCCACGCCTTCCTCCCATACACAAAGACCACCACCACCTCCACTGACTATCTATTGGGCATTAACCCGTTGCAGGGCGGCTCCCTCGCCGTGCTCGAGTTCACCGGCCCTCCCGCCAGCCCACCTAGACTCCGTTGCCGCCTCCCACCTTCCGCCTCCACCCACCTCCCTTCCACCTTCTCCAGCCATCTCCCTTCCACCTCCTGCAACCATCCCCTCTCCGCCCCCACCCACCATCCCCTCTCCACCCCTACCCACCATCTCTGCCTCCTCCCACCTTTTCTCCACCCGACGCTCACCTCGCATTCGCCCACCTCGCACCCGCTGCCCTCCTTTTTTTTCTTAATCAGTGCACGGTAACAACGTTTCCTGGGGCTGGGGGGGAGGGGAGAGAGAGAGACAGAGATGACGATGGGGAAGGAGCATCGACGGATGGTGATGACGACGGGGGAGGAGGGAGGAGGGAGGAAGGATTGGCGATGGAGAAAAGCGAAGGAGAGAGAGAGAGAGAGAGAGAGAGAGAGAGAGAGAGAGAGAGAGAGAGAGAGAGAGAGAGAGAGAGAGGACCCCATGTTGACCATGTGGAAAGTGGAAGATAAGGAGCACACCTTACGAAGACAAGGTAAGATTATAAAAATTCCGATCCTCCATTAATCATCTCTCGCCAGGGCGAGGGTACTTTGTTTTCTGTTCTTTTTTTCGTTTGTTGTCCATATTTTTGTGTGTGTGTGTGTGTGTGTGTGTGTTTCACAGAGACAGACAGAGAGACACAGAGAGACAGACAGAGAGAGAGAGATGGTGGATGGTGGATGGTGAAGAGGGGAGGGTTGGGGTGAACCTGGCGGAGGGGGGGAAAGCGAAACATGCCCCACGTGCCACATATTTTTTGGGTTTTTTTCCTTTCCCCCGATTTCCGTTTCGTGTACGTGAGAGAGAGAGTCCACGTGACAGAGATCCATGAAAGAGAGATCCACGTATGCAAGTGTGTCTATGAGAGACAGAGAGAGAGGGAAGGGAAGAGTGGGTTACGAGAAGTCAGCGGGTTGAAAGGGGGGGGTAGAGGTGCAGCATGTGGTGCGATTTTTGTTGGGTTGGACGGGGGGAGAGGTCTGGGGCGCAACGGAGGGGGGGTATTAACGGCGCACGGGGAGGGTAAATACGTGCCACGTGGCGCAATCTTTGTCAGTTTTTTTTTTCTTTTTTTCCCTTTTTTTTTTTTGTATTCGTGTGTGTGTGTGTGTGAGAGAGCGAGAGATTGGGGAGAGGGCAGGGGGGAGGGTAAGGAGAAGTCTGGGGGGGAACGGAGGGGAGGTATTAATGGCGCGCTGTGCGGGGTTACCTTTTTCTTGGTTTCCTGTTCCCTTTTTTTGGGTTTCTGATTGTGTTTGTATA